GAGGTCCCTTGATGCTCTCACTGTGATGTGGAGGTCAGCAGGAGTAACCAGTGAGCACTGCTCGGGGCCTAGGAGATCAACACTCCGAAAGTGTTGATATCACAGCAGACTTTGGAGGGCAATTCAGGTTTTAAAAGCATGAGCAGAAAAAAAAAGTATTGACATTGATTTGTTTTGGCCATTTTCATATTCATGAAAGGGTCGCTGCAGTGTTGAGAGTTTCGCAGGTGGAAACATTTTCTCATTTCCTGTGCTGATTAAACCCTAACAGCTAGTGGCAACATGCTGTGGGCTTGTGTCAATAGCATCCGTTTGACCTCAGTTTGAAATACTTCTGAAATCATTCAGAATTAATTGACGGTGCATTTGACCTGCCATTGACTTCTGACTTCAAGCAGGTTTTTCAGTTCCTAAGCCTTGTAGAGGCATGCAGCAAACATAAGCCTGTCAACAGAGCTTCTACATATCAAGGTGTTATTGTGACATGTGAAAGGAAGACGTCATTAAAATCCTAACACAGGTTATACCCTTCCTGTTGTATTCAAAACTAGATCAATGTGTTTAAAGTGTTTTCCAAACTGCCTAGAAATATTTTGGAAAACGTTAAGCAAAATGGTGTTCTTTCATTTAAAAACAATGTGCAATTACTGTTATCGTGAGAAAGTAAGCATTACTTTATGACTTTCTCCCTTGATTTCCTACCTCTTCAGAAACATTCTATGCTCACTGACAAATGAATTTGTGTGTGCTTTATCCTTACAATTTGGGTTATAGAACTTCTTTTTTTTAAAGGTATCGAAATGTAAAAAGAACTCTCAAATCTGTTTTTTTTCAAATGTTACAATGTTAATTGTACTAAATCCCAATTGATGATTTAAGCCGAGAATGAAATGTGAATGGTGTGTGTTTGTAATATATTTGTAAGATTGTTAGAAAGATGTAACATAATTCAAGGTTGTAACATAATTCAAGGTTGTAACATAATTCAGATGTACAGTATTTTAAATTTTGACTCTTCCTACTAAAGTGAACAAATAATCTGAAATGTCTGCAAATATCTATATTATTTGCACAACACTTACATGTTAAAATGCTTCCTTTACATTTTAGTCAGTTTTTTTAAAAAGATGTTTGTGTTCCTTTTATTTGGCTAAATTTACTTCCTCTTGATTTGGGGACTTTGTAAAAGATGTTGTAAAGAATAAATACAGGATCAGTTTTGACACCTTTTTGGAAATTATTTTCTGTCAATGAGTTTGTACCATTTGTTTGGAAACAGTACCTTTATAAGGAGGGGTGGTTAAACTGTATACTGTAATAAAGTATATAGTATAAGCAAGTAACTTGTTCTCCATGATGAAGTGGTAAGCTCCATTTTTTAGCCACTAGAACCAAAACCTTTGTGGGCTACTATGGACCAATGTGAAAATATATGTTCAAGGTCTCCATACATCCTAAGGAAAAATTAGATTAAGCTGCATCCCATAAAAATTCAATTTATTGATACAAGACATAAAATCACACACATCTATCTTACCAAGCATATACAAATATATATAATCTCTCATTATGACCACCCTAATATTGAGTAGGTGCCCCCTTGCCACCAAAGTAGCCCTGACCTGTCAGGGCATAGACTCCACTAGACCTCTGAAGGTATGCTGTGGCATCTAGCGTCAAGTCCCACAGTTGCTTGATTGGATTGAGATCTGGAGAATTTTGGAGGCTAAGTCAACACGTCAGACTCGTTGTGTTCCTCAAACCATTCTTGAACCAATTTTGCAGTGTGGCAGGGCGCATTATCTTGCTGAAAGAGGCCCCTGCAATCAAGGAATACCATTTCCATGAAGAGGTGTACTTGGTCAGAAACCATGTTTAGGTGGTACGTGTAAAAGTAACATTGGCAGGACCCAAGGTTTCCCAGTAGTACATTGCCCAAAACATCATGCTGCCTCTGCCGGATGTCCTCTTTTCCATAGTGCATCCTGGTGCCTTCCTTCCTCAGATCCCCACACATGCACCTGACCTCCACATGATAAAAAAAAAAAAAATCATCAGACAAGGTCACCTTCTTTCATTGTTCCATGGTCCAGTTCTGATGCTCACATGCCCGTTGTAGATGCTTTTAGTGGTAGACACGGTTAGCATGGGCACTCTCAACAGCTTGCAGGTACACAGCCCCATACCCAACAAACAGTGATGCACTGTGTGTGCAGACACCTTTCTATCGCAACCAGCATTAACTTTTTCATCAATTTGATCTACAGTAGCTCTTCCATTGGATCAGAATACATGGGCCAGCCCTCGCTCCTCGTGCATCTGTGAGCCTTGGCCATCCGTGAACCTGTCGCTGGTTTTCCTTTCTTGGACCACTGCAGACTGGGAACATCCCACAAGAGCTTCAGTTTTGGAGTTGCTCTGACTCTGTGTCTAGCCATCACAATTGTGTCCTTTTCAGAGTTGCAGATCCTTACACTTGCCCATTTTCTTTACTGCTTCCAACACATGAACTTCAGGGACAAAATGTTCACTTGCTGTGCTGTCTAATATATCCCACTCACTTCCGGGTGCCATTGTATCAAGATGATCGATGTTATTCAATTCCCCGGGGCAGACTGACCATTCGGGCCATCGGGCATTGCCCAAGGTCCAAGTCCAAGGGTGGGGTGAGTACAGGAGGGTTCCTGTGGGCTCTGCCTGATGCAGTGTGTAGGTGGTGGTTTCTATGGGGGTATGTCAGGCATTTACATTGTATGTTGTTATGCTTAGGATCCTCCTGCGGGAAGTCTGACACCCCTGGTACTGTTCCACCTAATGCCCCAGCTGCCAAACAGACCAGAAAACGCTGCGGCAATTGTAATTCTAAGCTGCCTGTAGGATATTTGAAATCTTTTTGTGATTTATGTATGCAAAAGCTGTTAGCTAGTGAGTCCGATTCCTTGATGAAAGGTTTCTTTGCTTCTATGAGGACCAAGATGGTGGCAACCATGAGGTCCTTTTAAGGAAGTTATTTCGGATGGTTTGCCAGTTCCTCCCAGTTTGGGGAGGGATTCAGAACTACCGTGGCCTTCAGGAATGCGGGCTAGGCCTCTATTAGGTTTGCCTAAGAGGTGCCTAGTAAAGTCTTTCTCTCTGAAACCGGTTCAGATAGTTCGGCAGTGGAAGTGGAGCATGCCTCTTTGCACATCTCTCAGGGTGCACAAGCTGCACAAGTGCTGGAATCCCTCTCTTTGGGAAGGCCGTCGCTTATTTAGCAGGCGCATTTGAAGAGACTGTTGGAGTCAGCCAGTCCGTTTGTTCTGGATGTTTTGAGAAGGGGCTATCACCTGGAGATTCTGACGCAGCCTCCCCAACCCTTTTTTTTCTCACCAGATTGCCCAAAGAAAAGGGGGCAGCTCATGCGTTAAAAGATTGTATTCAAACTCTGATCTCCCAAAATGTGGTAGTTCCAGTTCCTGCAGGGCAGGAGTTTCTGGGGTTCTATTCCCATGTGTTTATGGTACCAAAATAATGGGGCAAATTCAGGATGATCTTGAATCTGAAGAAGCTAAATCGATATCTGGTGTTCAAACATTTCCGGATGGAGTGCATTTACTTGGTGCGTCGCACCCTCCGGAAATCCGTTTTCATGATCACCCTGGATTTGAGGGATGCCTATCTGCATGTACCCATTTGCATGGAGCATCAACAATTTCTGCGTTTCGCGATCAAAACAAATGTGGGAATAGCTCACTGGCAATTTCGGGCACTCCCCTTTTGGTCTCTCAGCGGCCCCCAGGATCTTTACAAAGATTCTGGCAGAACCAGTATCCTTTTTGCGCCTCCAAGGTGTTTGCCTGATTTCCGTATCTGGACGACCTGCTGCTGGAGCAGTTTGGCTGGATGGTGAATTCATAGAAGTCCTTCCTGTCCCTGGCCCAGTCGGTGGTCTTTCTGGGCTACAGAGTGGATTCGGTGTCAGAAGTTAACAGAGAACAAGGTTCTCAAACTAGTGATGTTGGCTCGGGCTGCCCGGTCCAGCATCACTCTGTCTTTGAGGGAAGTCATGCGACTGTTGGGCGTTATGACCTCCGCAATTCCGGCATTGGACTGGGCTCAGTTCCATTCCAGATGTCTTCAACTGTTCTTTCTGTCCCATTGGGACAGAAGGACAGACTCATTGGTGCAACAGGTTTGCCTTCCCGGGGAAGTTTGCGAGTCCCTGGACTGGTGGATATCCCAGGAAAGGCTGAGACAGGGCAGACTGTTGAGTCAGTCGGACCCGATTCATGTCACAACAGATGCGAGTTCTTGGGGTTAGGGGGTACATGCATTAGAGATGTTTGAGCAGGGCCCCTGGCCTCAAAACCTGGCAACTGCCTACTCTAACTTGAGGGAATTGACAGCAGTGAAGGAGGCACTTCTAGCCTTCCAGGGAAGTCTGGTGGGGAAGGAGGTGAAGGTGTTTTCAGACAGTTCCACCTCAGTGGCTTGCGTAAATCACCAGGGGGGAACCCGATCCCTGGCACTTTTGCAAGTGGCGAAGGAGATTTTTCTCTGTGCAGAATCCCGGGTGGTTTCACTACGGCTGTCCACATAAAAGGGGTTTGCAACGAAACTGCGGATTTTCTGAGTCGCAGACGCATACACCAGAACGAATGGGAAAGGGTGTGTTTGGTCAAATTGTGGACCTGTGGGGGCAGCCGGAAGTGGACCTGTTCGCGAACAGACAACAGAAAAACACCGGCCTTTTACTCCCTAAGCAGGGAGGAAGAGTCCAGAGGTGTGGATGCGCTGGCTCAGAACGGAATGTTAGGTCTAGGATACACCTTTCCTCCTCTGGTTCTTCTGCT